GGGGGGGGGGGAGGCATTCAAAGCAAAAGATAGAAACAAAAGCCCCAGCAAGTGAGTTTCACTTTTATGTATTTCCATCGTTTGATTATTTCCTTGATAACACTGAGAAAATGAGATGGTTAGCTAACACATGTTTTCCATATTATTAGTTATCATATATCATATACTGGGGAAAGGCGTACACAATGACAGGCATTCGTTCAGTTTAGAGTCATTAATCTGAGGTAGAGGGCATACGTTAACTCCAGTTTGTGACATTCATTATGTATATATGTATGTTTCTACTAAATAATATGCAAGAGCACGACTAATGAATATCCGAAAACAATTGTTCACTCACCGACTCGTTTTCTAAGTATTTATTTACAAACTCAATCAAACGTCTGTATCGAGTAAAATTAAAAACCACTTTCAGCTTTCCATGTCACGTTTGAATCCATACCTTTCCAAATGAAGCCACAAGTAGCATATTACTGATAAACCGCAATATGATTTCTGTTTTGGACATGACATGTCCCCTGTTGTACAGGGAGCAGGCCAACATCCCTTCATGCGGATTGAGCTGTCTCGCTTTGTGAGCGAAATACCCCGTGAGAGTGAATGTTTTGAGGATTGGGCATCTAAATGTTCGTTCGCCGGAATCGGTATACCCTTGACGGTTGACTGAGCAAGAACGAATAGATCAGTTAGTAAATAACCGCCATCGGTCCGGTGAGAAAGCGACTCATGATAATATGAATCAGTGTAAACCCATCATTATACTCACGTACGAATGTAGGCGAGAACAGCTACATGGATCGGTTTCAACCTACACCCTCAATGACTTAATGATCTAAATTCCCTCGTCTTGAATGCGATCACCGAGATGCATTTCGCACTGAAAGGCATAATTCATAAAAGAATAATTGTGTCGATGCAATATAGGGAAAAATTAACAATATATCGAATAAAAATAAAAAAATAATTCCGCTTGTTACCAGACCACCAGAAATTATATATTTAATCACCGTGATCCCCAAAGGACTTATGAATTCCGTTCATAATTTGATTCATAAACCTACATCACACAGATGGAGATAAACCTGAAGGGAGAACAATTCATCTAATCCAAACATTCACCGTCTAAACATTACATTTATATTGCGCAATAAGGCGTATTTCACTGTATCTGAACTGGTGAAATACGGCGGTAGTTGATAATGGTTATTAGCTGTGCTTGAGTAAGTGATGCGTAATGCGTGAGTGTGCGTGTTGTGTGTGTGGTGTCCGACTGGAGAATGACATTTTATGTGAGTAATGGAGGATTTCGTTCAATTTCAAAGGAGAAATTCGTCGTGCATAAGGTAAAGCAAAAGTGAACTGAAAAGCTAGAAAGCACTGAACAGCTGTTTCGACCTGGTTGGGTCTCACCAGCAGTGCGAATCCATCGAACCAAGTTGGGATCGAACCCGCGACCTCATGGGCAGAACGCAAGCATGCTACTCCCCTCGGCCACCGGGTAGCTGATCAGACAGTTTTTCATTTTCCATTTACACGATATAACAATCCATCTTTGCGAGCGTGTTGCGGGCCACAGACCTCGTTCATCTCAGCACTAGCCTCCGGGGTTATGAATCGATTGGAAACAATCACAATTTGACTATTTATTTCATGTGAGTAATGGAGAATTTGGTTCAATTTCAAAGTAGAAACTCGATGATATTTGATCGTTTATCTCGGTATACCGGCATCTAACTCACTGTACAGAATATTCCTTGATCTGTGTATGCAATGGCTGGTGAGTATGCACCATCCGCGCCGAGGATAGCTAGCAAACGAAATGAAACGAACTCAAATCATTGTTCAAATTGCTGTTTGGCAGATTTGAAGTTTCTATGTCGATTGTGAAAAGTTTAGTAGCCGCGGTGGGATTCGAACCCACTCATGGACGCCGTCTTCGCTTTGTACGCGCGTGGTCTACCAGCTGAGCTACGAGGCCACACCGATAGAAGTGATCTTTTCACATACGAATTTAGCCATCCAACTTAAAGAGGCATACGGCATCCACCATCTACCAGCTCAACTGGTAGAGCATGCGCGTACAAAGCGTAGGCGGCGTCCATGCGTGGGTTCGAATCCCACCGAGGCTACTGAACTTTTCACAATCGACATTCAAACTCAAATCAACTTCTATCGAGGATGGTTACTCGGACAGTTTTAGTAAGAAGTTTGTTATGTTGCAGTTGAGTAGCTAGGTGACCACAACATGAATTAGAAAATGCATTTATTTACAGTAGGTACATTTGAAGTCGCTCTGTGGGCCGACAAGCAAGTGAGAGCGTCAGCAGGTCAGCGGGTAGGCAGGCAAACAGCAAGCATAAGCGTTACACGAAATCACATGCTGAGTATTCAGATCGTCAATGAATCAATCATCGCGTACAGTTCTACACTGACAGCTGATTGGCTGAGCCACACCGATTTTGTCACAGAGTAAGTTCGCAAGATGTGCGTGCGTGCATGTGTGGTAGTGGGCAGTATTAGCCAATCAACCAGGCCATGTGGATGTTTGGCAAAGGTTTCAATCAATTGTAGACCACAACGAAGTTTAACCAGACACCAATGCAGAAACCAGTAGTATGTGACGTCATTAAGAAGAAGGTTCACGTTTCATTACCCTTCAGACGCGATGATATCAACCTGGTCTCCCAAAGTCGACTGAGGAAAGTGTGAAGCGTTTTTACGTTGCCTCCAACTCAGCCATACTGATCTCAATTAGATGCATACCTATACCCTTGTCACAAAACAACCCTTTCAACCGACCGCCACACGCAGTATACCCCATTGAACGTGGATGCAGAGAATATTGCATGGGTAGAACAGATAGCTGCATAAAGAGATAAAGGAAAACATATCATATATGGTTAGACGCCATCGGACCGTGATACGATAAAAGGCCATTCTACAATAGAACACCACCATCCCTATCATTGTTTTCTATTTGCTTGATTGAAGTTGACGTTCTCAGTTGGAAGGGGAACGCGTTTTTTATAATCAACCCTATCCCTAGTTTAGATAAATTTACGTTTAACGTGTAGGTGTTATGTATACAATGAGTGGAGGGAAACTGAAACGTAGAGAAATTCTGTAGTAACAGGAGATCACGGGCATTGGGCGAATAACTATAACCATTTTTTGGACAAACCTCTTCTTTAATCTGCACCATGAATGGAAGATATCTGCCCACATGACGAAGAAATTGAAATTTCCCCGCTTTTAACCTTTGGTGTTGCGTGGTCAACAGTTGACATTGACTTCGTTTTTTGTAACCCGGTCGAATCTGCCCCGGATCATTGTCACCGGTTTTCGAGGCATTCTTGTCGCGCTTGGGACTATCATTGGACTGGCGAGGACGTTGATTGAACATGTTTACCACCGGTGAGGACGGATTGATGGACACAACCAGGGAGTGTAAGGCACGGATAATCAGATAGGCAATAGACATGCCTAGCTGGATAGTTCCGTCGTGGATTTTGCGGCTAGTTACTATCATTCCAATCAGATTTTCACCCACCTCGGTTGCGTCCACATTTTTGAATTGCATTCGCGGGAGGATTTCGTTGCACAGCTCCTGCAAAATTGACAGAATAATGGGCAGCAGAAAAATTAATTCGAGTTTATGAGGCCAATTTTGTAGGGATGAGGTGGAAATAAATTTATATTCTATTAGGATTACAAGCTTTTGATCGCAGAGAGTATCAGAATATTCAGTCAAGGCACACATCGAACAACAAACCGCACATGATAAAAGTACAATTTCAGCTAAACTTGATCAAACTTGAGCATTCGCAGAGAAGAAAAAAATAGTATCTACAAGTTTATTTTAGAACTCAGATATGTGCTCAATAATTAGGAGTGTATAACCCCTTCGTCTGAAATAGACTTCTCGCATCTAAATATGTTTAACTGAATTTTACCTTAATAACATGATAACCTTTCACTTTTTTGAGGACTTGAATCATTTCGATCATCCAGACCCTAAAAATCGACGGTATGGTCAGGCGTTGCTTATTTATTTCAGTAGAACGCTACTCTCGAGCGTTCAAAAGTCCTCATGACATATTGGTACACTTTTAGGCAAGGAAAACCGTTTGACAGTCTAACTACAACTATGTAGGCGTTTATCATGGTTGAAGCTAACGTATGTACAAGTTACCTGTTCTGTCAACTGTTGTGCATAATACGAGACGATCAGAGCATTTATTTGATCTAACTGTTTTCCCTTCACTGGTAAAGAAGAAGCCTATAATAAAGGGGACCTGCTGTTCCGATTCGAGAATTGGTGATCTAAGCTCCGGAATGGATGCAGAAAACCAAAAAATACCTGACAGAAAACGTTGGCAGTGAGCCGGGAGAGTTTAAAGCAATACATCGGCCAAGATGGTTGGAAGTGGTACGAGGAACATGCGTTTTCAATAAAAGAGCGATCAAAGCCTTGTAAGTTCATGGCTATTAGAGACGCGTTGTTACACTGTTCTTTTTCATTTGTGTTCAGTTACCTCTACTCAAACACAAAGTGATCCTACCTAGGTGACAACCAGATAATCTTTCCCCGGGTTGCTTTCGAGCAGTGCTCGTTTTTAAATCACTACTGTTGCCACGGCAACAATAATTATGCTCACATTTTACGGGTTAAACCAACAATTATAATGATAAACGCACGCAACTCATTTACTCCCTTCTTCAGTCTACAATCGTTTATGTTTTTGCGAATTTCTGTGCAATATCTTCACTTGCATTTATATGATTCTTGTTTTAATAATATTTGTGGCAGGTCTACCACTTCACAAGCACTGATGACGTCACCTTGGCTGGCGATGAAACGTTTGCAAACAAATTACCAAGCTCAGCGAACAAGCGAAAAGGAATTCAGGTCACTTGGGCTGCGAAAACCGATTTCCAATATCCTGTCAATAATATAAACACTTAACCAACCAGGCGCAAGTGAGAACACATTTCACTGTCTTTGTGTTGTCTTTTAGAATACTCTTATTGAGTTCCAATGAACACCGTTACATAATTGATAAACTGGTTGAAATGTCCACACAGATTAATTCGATCACTGGGTTTTGACATAGCACCCATCAACCTAGCTGCCGTGTAAAATCTTACTGAAAATTCTTTTGTGAATACAAGTGATCCAAATGATAGATGCCGGCTAGTTGTTGTATTTTAGCTGTCAATCTCACGTTATAAATGCGTTTGTAAAAACCGCTCAGATATTGTTGATGAAACCATTTTGGTGTAGTTTGAACACAGTTCATGTAATCGTTAGCATCCAAACAGGCATAAGATTCAGTGAGATAGTACATTTACCCGAAGAATGACGATCAACCGATCAATTTCCTCCTCCAGTGGAAAACGATGCGGGGCGAAGTTCAAGCGAATGTAGCTGTGTTTGTAAAACGAATAGAAATGAAAGCAAACAAATCATGTGTTGTAGTACATCTGAGCAGGAAGCGTTTCGTAGAATGCCTCATTGTTAACGATTAGTTGAACTTACGTGGTAAAAATACAAAATGACAAATAACTTAACATGAAGTTTATTGGCGAGATTGAAGACAAGTGATTATGTTTGTTCTATTGATCTCCCACATCCTAACTGTATACAAGCCGTACACGAGTCGGAATCAGGAGCCGGAATTATGGTGTTGGTAACCTGGAGAAAATTAAAGTCCGTGTCCCTTCAGTAGCTACTGACAAGATTCGAAGTAGAATACTTGGATTAACACAATTGTAAATATTTAAAAGGTGAATTCGTCGTGTATATAACAAATGAAGCGTGAACTGAAAAGCAAGGAAGCACTGAATTCGCACTGCTGATGAGACCCAAACAGGTCGAAATCGAAATTGAATCAAATCCTTCATTACTGACTTGAAACAATTCTAAATACTCATGCAACACAGATCCCCCGATTAGGAAAAAAACATTCAAAGGTTCGAGCCTGATTAATTCAGCAATATCACAATTACTGGGCAAACTCACCGCATTCCAGGTACGTTTGAGATTGCGCTGTTGTACACTTCTTCGCTGACCAGCAAATAATCTGGTTGATTGGCCAAATGGGTTCGTGGTTGATCCTCAAAGAACGTAATGTCATCGTAGAAATAGAAATCTTCTTCTCGCAAGGCCTTCAAGTCCTGCAGGATCTGTGCATTTCAAGGAACACAAAAGGAGCGCTTGGACCTCTTGTTGTACACAGGATAGTACACTTCGCAAGATACTGTAGGAAGCCTGCTGTTCTACTGCCTACGTGTGGATAGTAGTTTCCTCTTGATCGAAATTCAAACGCATATGGAAACGCTTTTAAATGGCTTCACTAGGGCCCACACAGCCATCAGTTTTACGTCCAACTTAGAACTGGGTGATCAAAAGATGCTACGGATGCGCAGTAAGACTCTCCAGTTACCGTAAAGCAACATATAATGGGTATTACTAGCATCTTGCCAGTTTTGTGCTTCTGAAAATTCATAGAGACTTAGTTCAAACCACTACGTATTGAGCAAGGAAACTTTTTTTCAGATCATCTGCTCTAGGAAGCGGAAAATGTAAAGCAAGCGTTCTTTAACAGCGGTTATTTGGAACACTTTATTGAGAACAGAATATCAGCTTCCGAAGATCCACAAGCAACAGTTAAAGGAAACGAACTTTTCATAAGACATGTCAGTTACAAGAACGCCGATTAGAATGGACCATTACTCTTACTTTTCTCGCTGCAACGCTACGTACTCAAGTAGACAAATGGTCTCCATAAAGCCTAAAGATACTTCATCCATCATCTCATCCTTTATGATCATTTACCACTTTTCTTGTTTATGTTCGGCAAGCTATGAACGAAGACCGATCAGACAATTACCGCAATTGATCAAGGAGCACATGCCGATTCAATACGGGTATACGGAAAAGGATTACAAGTGGATTGGTAAAACACCTTGCAAAAACGAGCCATCAAGCAAACGAGGACACATTGCATGTAACCTACAAAGTACCAGCAAACACATCAAAAGCACCTTGCTACAGCTGAGGAGGTGGCCAACCGCCTACTCAATCCAGCCCTTTGTTATCAAAAGTAATTCGTTCAACACATATCGCTTACCTCAGCCTCAACGTGACACAGTCGGTCGTGACTTTTGGCATAACCCAGCGACGCAGATAAAAATGAAGCAGCTCGTTCAATCCGTTGATATAAATATTGCCAAACCACATAAGAACAACAAACTTTCTAAACCACACATCGTAACATTACAATCAATTACAGTCATATTTATCACAGCTGACCATTATACTCATTTCACACTTTTGAACCCTACATACGACTGCATCAGCTCGAAGAAGAATTTATTGAAAACAAGCGACTACTAAATTTTTTTGAGTACATAGGATAAACAAAGGTAAGATTCACCGATCATCATCTTGAGGATAGTCAGCACTGAACTTACCTCTTCTCGCGCGGATATCTCATCTGCATCCATATCCAAACCGGATTTGAACGAATCACGCAAAGGTACCTGTATCTCTTTATAATGCCGCAATCCATACGCGTGCCAATCATCGTTCACGAACGAGAATAGACACGGATCGCTGCGTACGTTCATAACGATCCAGTACTGATGACGAAAACAAACAAAAAAATTTCCTGAAGTCCACCCACCAAATTATTTAGCTTTCAGACAAATCGACAACACTGATAATCCGATCGCCTCGTGTATTCCGATGTCGGAAGCTGTTCAGAGGATCTGGCGCAATGTACTGAAATTGTAATTCAATTGTTCTGCTTCAGGGAACTCTTTGGTTTAGGACTCACCTACCAGGCATCCCACCTGAATAGGTGAAAATCTATTTAATCGCTTGATATAAGTTTGATAAGAACCACATCTACTGGTAGTATTCCACAAATTCAACAACCTCTAATGAATGACGACACGTTTGCGATCATTATCACCGGATAGGAAATCATGTATAGAGTGGTAAAAGAATCTGCAAAAGTATTCATATGCGCTGCCTAACATGATCAAATTAGTCTTTAACAGAAAAAAGTAAACGTGTATAGAAAAAGTGAAGCGGTCTGACTAGCTTCCGGTGGTCAACTGAGTTGTGAGCTGCTGGATATTTGGTTGGATCCTCAGCTGAGTCAGTGGTTGGCACTCCCGACTCAATATCGGGACCCGTATACACAAAATTCTCTTTCTAAATTTCTCCACATCACTCCAACATGTGTTTAGGTAATTTGAACAAAGCAGCAACACTCCGTACAGGTTTACTTTGCATACCGGGTTTTCTGAGGCGCATTTCTTGACGATTCGCCTCAAACTGTACATCGAAGGCTGAGTCAGACCGAGTATTGGTAACTGACCCAGCGAGTTCTCATGACGATTATCATGGTGCTCGTTCTGTGCTCCCAAATGATCCCGTTCACTCTCGCTGTCCCGGACCAGACAAAATTTGCCCTGCAAAATCAAGTAATCACATACCGAAATGAATGTCATTTTGAAAAGATACTGGAAATCACCGGCCACGGAAAATAGATTATGTACATATGGAATAAGATCTAGAAAGCACCTTTTGGTAATCACATTATTTCAGAGTTAATTTATTGTTAAAAGGATAGTGATGCCTTCAACAAAACTTTTGGATGTATATTGCTGGACACTTGCTCGCGTTTCAGTCAACGCGGGGATACAAAAGCGGTTCGGAGTTTATGGGATGGAAGAACTTGGAATAAGGTCCAGTATGCCCAGAAATACAGTTGGAGGTTAGTTTCCTAAAAGTTTCCACCGTAGAATTTTAAAACAGCATTTCGCAACATTATCTGATTATCTTTTGGATCCGAAATTGTCTGAGTCTACGAATAGGAAATGCTGGCCATCGTAGTTTGCTAATGCTTAACCAAATGAGCCAAGTATATCGGAGTTTGATGTTAGTAATGATTTCTTGGCATTAGCTCAGATCAACACTAGGAGGCCAGACTCATCTCATTGAGAAAAATTGTTATTGCCTAACAGGTTTAATGTGCTTTCAACTCACACTTTAGTAAATTAGCATAAAATAAAGCAATGGTGAACATTTTTGCTCCGACGATGCTTTTCTCATTTGTGGATGAGGCACCTAAAATAAATACTTTTATGAATCCATTGCAATGTTCTTTTGTGTACAAACAAGGTACATTCATTCTGGTAAACGGTCTCAAATGCGCCAGGTTTGACTTTTGTTCCTTTCTCAGAAACCAGAACATCTAAAATAACTGGCAATTTGTCGGAGCTCAGTGATGGTGGATTCGGTGGTTCTGTTATCGGCCAAGTGACTCAAGAGTAAACGATCACCACGTAGTTTACCCTGTAATTGAATCGATGAAGTTTCTGTGGACACGATACCATGAACCGTGAAATGTGTAACAAGAGACAGGGTACCGATGAGATGAAAATTTTGCCACCTGATGTCACCAGATGCAGCTTTTGACAAGTTCTTCAATTTTGCTCTTCACGTTTAGATCAGTGGACCAAATACCGAGTTAGCGTTTTTCATTGTTCCATTGATGTCTCTGATATTGAAGGCTGAAAACTGATGTGGTTGCTACGATAAAATCTCACGGTTTGAGTTGATATCATTCTGCGACTCAGGGCTACATTATTTCAGGTTTATCTTAGGAAATTACTCACAGAATTCCGACACCATTTTGGTCGTATTCATTAAACGTCAATTATAATAATAGTTAATTTGTTTGTGATCCCATTGGCCAATATTTTGCTGAAATACAAACTGAAAAAAATCCTGCATGAATCAAATGTGGAATGCAGGGTTTAGTTTAGGACTGAGATGGTTTTTGTCTCAATTTTACAAAGTTGATGGGTTTCTTTTGTCGCACACCGAAAAACTCACCTTAATCATGGGATGTTCCCTTAGATTGGGCTCGACCTGACCAAAGACAATTTCGGGCAATTCGTCCGCCAAATTCTGATACTCCTCATGATAGTTACCCAGCAACACGGCCACACGTTTGTTTGTTCGTCGGCAATACTGGCTATCTAAGTTGCGAATGTACGTGCATGCATGAGAGCACAAACAAACAATAATGAGACAAATCACAAGTAATCATGGCTTTCGGATTGCTCAAGCGGACAGTAATCGAAAAGCTATTAAATAGCGCTGCACTTTTGAATGAGATTGAAATAGGTGCTACACTAAGTTCAGCACGCATATACAGTCAAAGAAGGACCGGTAGACATGTTTCATGTGCCTTGCTAGCACAGCAAACATCCATGCACTGTGAAGGACAAGAAGGAGCTGTGTCTTCCATGTGAACTACTTCACAGAAGCAAAGAATTGTGGAGCTCACTAACTGCTAGGTAGCAACGTTTTCCCTGCTTTTTTCCTAGTGGATCATTCCCCGGTCTGCAGGACTGTGTAATCTCAGCACTCCAGTGTGAAAATATCGAGGGCTGGAGAACAAAACAGTTTGCAGCCGTGACTGAACCGACACCGCGCTCTCAAATAGCCGTGGGCATCAATAGGAAAAGATATCTCCAAGACAAATAAACGCAGCTACACAAAGAGGTAGTAATTCCGCATTCATTTGGATTGAAGAAGGTTAACCTTTATCATAATCCATCACGAACTATAAATCCCACACCACTTACCACTTTTTAATAGGAAGTAAGTTTAGGAATATATTCGACCAAGTCACAACTCTATCAATGTGAGCAACAACGGATACGCATGTAGTTGCTTGCACTAATGGAGTGCCTTATACTTTTACTTGTGCATCAGGAATTAACGTTCAACAAATAACCAGATTCGCAAACGCCCCAAATCAATTTATCAGTTTCACCATCACAGACACAACCAGGAGTTGAAAAGTACAGATCATGAGCAAAGATTGTTTTATTACTGGTTGTGTTCGCTGTATTAGAAACTGAAAATTCCATTTCGGCTGTTTGAAAATGGGACAAGTGTACAAAAATTCTTGATAAGTCTGTACAGTGAAAAGAAAGCAGCTTGTTCAGCTCCTCCGCGGTCAAGTTAGCCGTTTGCATGCGCTCGATCTATCACGTGCAATCTCCGATTGCATCAGTGAATTCCCACTGCTTTTGACATTCAGCTTGCAGGAAGCAGCGGTACAGTATTAAAAAGCTTCTAAGTTTACCTGCCTTCTGTTCTGCATACTGTGAAATTCAAAATTCAGACTTTACCGTTTTGTCGCCCCACATTTTTCATAGACAGTGCTCTGTTTATACAATATATATACCCGCGATTCACACTGCGGGGGAATACGGAAAAATACTGCCCTTATTAAAGATGACGCATTGAGTGGAAAAATGTTTGTTTCCAAACAACAGTAGAACGGTTATATTAAGAGACGGATTCGGGGAAGCAAGACACACAAATCTACGCAACTGGTTCAAAATATTGTACAATACAAACAATGCAAAACAATAAAAAACGGTGTGAAATGACTTGAAAATGGTCATGATAAAACAGTATGCTTGCTGTCATGCATGTGCGTTTATAGTCATTTACACAAAAAATGCAACTACTTTGCGCGTTTTGAGGCAAGCAAGAAAAAAACAATGTTTGGGCAGCAAAACATGCAACTACCACCACCACCACCACCACACAGACTAACAAGCTGAAAAGTGGACATGTAAGCAAATGATATACTGTACAGAGTTCCAAAAAGTGCGTTTCAATCGAGTGGGTTTTTTACACGATCCAGTACTGAGATGTACTCTTGCGTGAAAAAAGGAGAACAGGATGTGTACATTGGAAAGCCCACTACGAGACACATGTCTATCTTACCGTCTTCATCCTCAATTGATCTGTTAACTGATACGAATAATGAACGAGTAACAAGAGTGTGTGATATGAGATCATCAGACTGGTATGATTAAAATGGACGGTTGTGGTGTACGTTCGATCAGGTTACTTTCCTAAACACGACATCATCATGAACAATGTGAGAGGTGGACCCCGTAGTTATAAGTACCTGCGACGTGGTCATGGGAACTGGCGATCAAAGACCTGGGGGTTTGAACAACCAAATACATTAAGCCCCAATATAATAGTTGCATTATTGAGCTAAAGCACAGCACAGTTGCTGGTTGGGGATAACAGTTAGCACCTCGGGCCTTAAGGATCAAAACACGACAAAGGTAGCGACATAAACCGTGACTATTATTGTATAATGCATAACGCTTGAGGTTCCTGTTCACTCTGAAATCATATGTTTGACTGCATTTTCTTGGACGGGATTCACCCAGCTGCTAAACAAAGCCCAAATGTTCTCGCTTCGTGATATTAAATTTGTTGCGACCTAATAACAAATCCTGATTTCGTTAGGTATGCAGAACAAGGAACGCGATTCACCAGAGTTGGATTGCTCATCCTTTGTTTACTCATCGCTCATTGAATGACATCTCGTTGTTTCTATGCACAGTACTATTTATCTCATACGCCCGGAGTGAACAGCGTAAGTACTCTGATGAAATTTATCCTGGATGTTCTTGCGTATTGCAAAAGCATTACCACGGCAAAAGTGCTTTGATCCTGAAAACGGTCGACTTCTAAATGCATTATTACAATGAACAAACCTAGGAGTGAGGTTCGAACGGAATCCTACAGAGTCGTCCTAGCCGAATGAATTTTCACGGTGAACAGGGAGCCGATGTGAGGCGAATATCCCCAGCGAAATGAGAAAGATCAATCGCACAATGAATTTATTCTCGCTTTATTCCGATTAGGGCTTACAACCAAAAGCCAGGTGCGCTGTTGATTGTGTCAAGGGTATACGAAAATTGCCGTTCTCCATTGTGCTCCGGCGCGTATAGATGAAGGTGAAATTAGTTACATTTCGCCTGTTCGCCGAACTTGGCAATTTGTTTACAAACGTTCACCACCAGTCGAGGTGACATCATTAGCGCTTGCGAAGTGGCAGTATTCCGCTTGTACCCGTTCGTTTATGTGTTCTTCTCCACCGATTATTTTCTTTCCCTGTTCTCGCTGTGTTTGACTCCGTTCGCCGTTAAACTAGTGCGAGGGAGGAAGTTGTCCTTTCGTCCCGATTGCGGTTTTCGTCCGTTCTCAGGTGTGACCTTTCTTGTTGCGTCATTTGATCCTTGAGTTGCATTGGTGTGTACACATGATCCAGTTCAATGTACCTGTTTATTGAGTTGATTGAAGAGTGCCAGGCCTCGAGAAATTCTCTGGCGTGTTTTGACCGGGCTTGGTCGGTAATTCTCACTGATACAAAGTTAAAGTGATGTCCTTCTTGACCTTCGTGGAGTGAGATCAACGATAGTGGGTCATGTCTCCTGACTACCAATTGATATTGACGGATCCTTGTTGACAGTGTTCTCCGTTTGTCCGAAATAGTGTTTTGAAGAGTTCTTGCAGTTTCCTTTGTAGACGACGCTCTTCTTGTCCTTCTCCATTGTTCTCTCCTTGGGTTTTGACAGAAGTCCCCTTAGACAGG